GACCAAGCACACACTTGGTACATGGGATTTGGCCAGGACTTCACAGCGTCCTGTGTGGCCCCTTGTTTTAAAACAGGTTGGATTTGCATGATGTTGCTTTTGCTTTCCCTGTCATGAGTTGTCTCAACATGTATGGTTGAGGTTCTGTTGGCATGCCGCTGGAAGTGGTGGCCTGGAAGGAACATGTCTGATCGTTTGGACGCTGCCTACGCTAGCTTCAACCTCTTTCGCCGTTCCCACCGTTTGGCAACCTCGTTCCATGAGTTTAGCTTGAAGACCTTTAAGTGCAAATCGTTCCTTGGCAGTTTCTTGTGCTGTGTGTGCGTGTGAGGATGGCCCTATATTTTTGAACTAAGCGAATTGTGCAAGTGAAGAATTAGGCTTGGCTCATGGCCAAAGCTGAAGGGCAAGGGATTCGATGTGGCAGTTGTTTCAAAATGGCTTTGGCACGTGATTCAAAGCCCTCCTGTGAATCCTTCCCATGCACCTTGGCAGGGCACATGTAGACTTAGAGTATAGCCAGCTGTGATGTACAGTACTCAATCAACCGTTTGCATAGCATGTCCATTTTTTTTGCTCAGACAGCGCCTGATGATGCTGTGAGCCTCCTTCACTTTACCCTGGAGTCTGTGGGCAAGTACTTCACTGGCATTTCAGGCCAAAGGTGGATCGAGAGGGACAAAGCGATTGAATGCGTGCAGTCATGCCAAAATATGTTGGTTTCATGTCTGCAAAAAGACTTGCACAAGATTGCAAGCTTTGGATTTTTTCGTTTGTAGGTCAAATGAAACATCTCTTTGGTAAGGAAGGGTACACAGCACTTGGAGCCTGGGCTGGCCAACAAGGGGCAAGTGGATGGCCTTTGTTCAAAACCCGGCCCAAGCAGCACATGCAAATGGAGATCCAGCCTCGCCCTTATATGTGTATATACATACACAATGAATATACTTTAATATACTGTATACGTGCATGTAGTCTGTGGTTTGCTCATTGTTTAGGCTTTACATCCGCTGACAGGATGTGGATGCAGGACCAATTGAACGCTGGTGCGCAATCCATACTCTCGCCAAATTGTTGCCTGGTGGATCTCTCTGTGTGTGTATGTCTCAACTTTGTGGAGTTGAGATAGTTTAGATTAGTTTAGTGTGCATCTAAGTCTTTGCAACATGGTTGGACGAGGACTTCATTGGACGCGAGCCTCGGTTAACCATTGCTTGTAGCGTGACTGCACCTTGTATTGGACTTGAAGTTTGTTTGAGGTTGCGCGTGTGAGCCGGCGCACCCATAGCCTGACCATTTGTGTGGCAACCCTTAAAAGGTGCCTGGTGCACTACAAACGACGCTGGAGGAAGTGGATCAGGAACTAGAAAAAATGAAGTCCTGTGCTCGCTGCGGTTGCTTTACCTGAACAGTGAATGTCCACCTCCTTAAGAGGCCTGTCAGTATGGATGTGTACCCCTTAAGAAAAGAATCCGAGCACTTTATACTTTCCGGATTCCATTCGAGCACATTCTCGTGAACCGTGCGGAAACCAAGGATTCGATCGTAAAACATGAAAACGCGCATAAAACAAAGCGAGCGCAATTTTAGGTAGCAATGGGGACTCCAGGTATGAATCAACTGGAATCATGCATGTCAGAGCCGTGTGGGGTCAGAATACGTGGACGACAAATCCATCCAATCTGTGTGGCTGTTTGCGGTTGATGTTTGGAAGCCTTACCCGTTTGGGCTCCAGTCATACCTTCGTTTCGGTTCGGTGGGATTGGGGTGGGTGCCAGGAGGGTCCCGTCATACCTTCCTGGCAGAAAGAACATCTCCCATCCATCGGCTCCTGCGTCCGAAACGCGACGCTTCGGCTATGTGTAAATATCGCCGGTAGCAAGAGGTCGTGGAAACTACCCGACACTCAAGTCCAAACCTACCTTTTGCAACCAATCATGGATTGACAGTAGACTTGAGAGAGGAGGGGGTGAGCGAAAGGTAGCAGGCAATCACAAGCAACCCTGGTAAAAGTCCATGACGGTGTGAACCGGCGCAACGGGGCCCCGGTCTCACTTAGCCAAGTAAAAACAGCGCGTTGCATGCGATCATCTTGGATTTGCTGTCCGAGAACCAGGCAAAAAAACACAAACATCTTCCCCAGAAGAGGATGCACCAATGTGGAACATACAATATATCCTTATTTATAGTATCCTGAATGCGCACAAACTGATCACACGCAACCTCTTACGGTCCCTAAAACCCTCATGGAAGTGGAAAACGAAAACCATCAGTTGGGTATTCGGAACATCGTCATCCTTTCGGAAACCATGCCATGATCTTCCTCTCGTCATCGGCGCAGGACCGTAGCACGGTGTCGATGCCGAGACACCAGCTTCAGCTGCGTGCGGTGCACATCGCTGTCACTGACGTTGCCCCCCATGACACGACCTAGTTCTAAGAGGGACGAATCGATTCTGAGGTCGGAGGGGGGGTGTTCTTTTTGCATAGCAGCGGGGGATGTGTATGCATGTAGGTGTTTCTTCATGTGTTTTCGCAAGCAGGGACGAGTGACGCATGTGAACACTGCGTGGCCAAAGCGCAAATCAACTTAATATATATTTACACAATATGAGTGGACCCCAGCCACGTGGAGGACAACACCCCTGGTCCTGGTCCACTTATGGGGCCATCCACAAGTGCTTGCCCTACCCCTCAAAAATGATCACTTGCTTTCAGACTGATGGTTTATGTCATTATTCTAAAGACCCCGACGAATCCTCATCCACATATGCCCAAGGTCCCTCTTCAGGGTTGCCCAACTCGCCCAATCCGTCCGCTGCATCGGGCCATCGGGCCTCAAACCGCCTGGGCCTTCGGAGCCCAATATATCAAACCCAGTCCCACCAGTCTTCCGTGTATCAGCAAAACTTACATTTGCTTCAGGAACTGAGACATCTTCCCGCCATCAATGTGAATGAACAGTTCGCTGCCCCGCCCCCAGCTGCCAAATGCTTTGCTTGTTCCCAAACGCCCAAACGCGATGCCCGGAGTCGATGCCGCGATCTTCGCTCTCGCTCTCGCTACCTCTCGCTCGGTGTCCCCCTGGGGGGCCGAGCGCCAGAAGCAAAGCGCGAACATCGCCCGTAAGCGCTTGTTCCAGAGGCCATACTCTGGGTGCCTTGGACATCTGGTCGTTTTTGCGGAGGTGAATAAACCCTATAGGCCTCCAACTACCTCCGTTTCGGTTCGGTGGATGGGGTGGGTGCCAGGGGGGTCTAACCACCTTCTGAGGATATGGTTGGAGGGGGGGAATATGCAAGAAAACGCCTGAATCTAAATAGATGTCTATAGATTGTCTAGATCAAGATTGACCCGAAGTTATGATAGTCCACTTGGCGAAGAATTTCCATCCAAATTGCAATTTGACAGGTTTTTTTCCCTGAGCTGTAGTAGTGGGGAGGAAGGATACGCTAATAATTGTATTAATGTTGGATCCTGAGCCTGATTAGTAAAAGGATTCTCTATGCCCCTATGTTCGTTTTAATGGTCCCCTATCATGCTAAATGTTTGGGGATTCCTTTTTTTTCCATTAAAAAAATGTTAAACATTGTTCTGAGCCATGTGCATATTACTAAGCCAATGGTTGGCTTGCTAAACATATTGATACTTATAGGTTTCCTAATTCTCCTTCAAAACTTACAGCCATCAACTTCATCACTCATTTATGTAAAGATTGCTCCTAAACAAATGTTCAAGGTAGTAGACCAGAAAGGCCCCTGATCCTCAATAAGACTAATAAATTGCTTTAAGGTTCTTCAGATGTGCAAAGGTGTTTCCTCAGTTCACAAATACACATATATAAATCTAAATATTAAGGCTGGCTTGCTAAGAGTATTATTGGTCATTAACGGTTTCCCTTGTGCTTCTTCAAAACTGGCAGCTTCCCAAAGCCATCAACTCCTTAATCAATTCTTGATGTAAAGATTGCTCCTGAAATAATCAGGGTAGTAGACCAGGAAGGCCCCTTAATCCTGCATAACAGATTTGCTTATATAAAGGTTGCTCAATCGTGCAAAGTTCTTCCTCAGTACAAATACACAAAAATAGATCTTAATACTACTAAGCCAATGGATTATTACACATTATAGGTTAACCTAGTTAACCTTAAACACTGCTGAGAATATCTACAAAGAACCTGAGAAAGGAACATGATTACTTGCAATCTATTAAATGAAAAGAGCAGATAATGCATACTAATTACAATCAATTGCAACAAGAAATCTTCCCAGGCATCCAGATTGGCTTGGTAGTTTATTGTAGGGGACCTCCCAATTGTTTGGAGGAGGGGGAATCCGTTTTACTCAGGATCCTACATGTAGGACAGACAACTCCTCTGTTTTGCGTGCTCGGTGGAGCACTCCAGGACTCCCTTGTGGCATCAAACACTGGCTTGTGTATCCATACTATATACCTGTGGTGATTTATGTATTATACATCTATACATCTTGTGTATCTATCTATTATACGTATTGTATCTATGTATTATCTATAATATATCTATACTATGTATGTCTATATACTATATACCAGCAGCAGCCGCGACCATGCAAAAGAAAGGTTATATGTTGCGACCTACTTTTTCTAGGTCATGGAAATGGAAGGTCTGAAAACCCGGTTTTTGTATTCCCTGTTCCAAACAAAGAATATCATCATGGGAGCTTGTATAGGATTTGATGACTTAAAGCCCCTCTCACCCCGTCCTCCCATCCTTTCCCTTCGTTTCACGGACGTTTTCTCGCGTGGCCACCGGGCTCGATCGCGGCCCCGTGCCGCAAGCATCCTGCCAAAGCCACGGCCTGAGACCTGCTGGGTTCAGTAGTGGTGTAGGAAACAACCATACTTCCACACAAAGACATAGAGTTCATATCTCAACACCCGCATTCATACATACCATGCGTGCAGGAAGGTGCATAGAATAGAACAACATGTTGGGTATAGCCCAAACATCATCCAAAGGCTCAAGTGCCCAGCTTTAAGTCTCCAAGGTCTAACGTGGAGCAAATTGAATTTCTAATTGCAAGGAAACTTCGTTGAAGGACTCGCAGACTGGCGGTCTTGGCTGAAACTCTGCGAGACAGCCGCGATGGCTTGCCAACAAAGTCTTCTGACATCTGGTTGGCGTAAACTAAAATGTTTATACACCATGGCCCTTGGCGCGAGGCATGCAACATGGACAAAAATTGGTGATGTAAATAATGCCCCTTGGGCATCAGAGGGAAGCGCTTCTTTCGAAGCCTGAAGCACATCACTGCCAACTGGCGATACCGTTGCAGAAACACAAGGCCTTTTGTGGCCAAATATTCGGCCCTGGGCGCTTTGACAAAGAGCCCTTCCTTGTAAAGCCCGCCAACGCACTCATTGATGGCCATAGTCGCTTCAGCCTGGGACGGCCAAGTGCAAACATGTATGTTCCAACGGTGAGGCCGAACCAACCACCTGAACCAACCTTTGGCTTTTGAACCAACAGAAAAAGAAACGGCACAAGCCTGTTTACAAAGCAAAGCAGCACACAAGATGTATAGTGGATCCCTGGTTTTGCCCAAAACTTCTCGAGAGCAATAATCTTCAAACCATTGGAGCAATAACCTGGTATGGTCTCCTTTGTTCCATGCCGCGTCCGGAACATCCTGGAAGCCACCCTCAACTCCAAGCAAGGATGCTGACAGTGTTTTGTGATAAGGGCTTTGGCGGTTCCGCTGGCAGTACGCCCGAAAATCTCGTGTCAAGTCTTCAAACGCACCAGCAATGGAATTGTTGATGAGCTCCATACACACGCAAATAGCGCTGGCAATGAAATTCTTTCCCAGACCCAAATGTAAATTATGAAACAGGTCGAACTGGAAAAACATGTCCAACCCTCCTTGGGCCCCATCTTTCAAAAATGGGATTGCTGCAAAGGCTGATGGCACCTCGTAGGCCGGCTCAACCCCCATAGTCTCCAGCCAAGCAGGCTGTTCCGTACCGTAGTCTTCGTATGGTATTTCAACTGCAATACCCTGACTGTCGGTCTCTTTGCCTGCCAAACACAAATGGCAGATCCCTGGACATGCCTTCTTTGAGGAACGTTTCAGAGGTCGTCGAGCGAAGCTCCTGTCAAAGCGCCCAGCCTTCACCAGGTAAGGGCAGTCACCCTTACATCCAATCACACATATGAAAAATTTCTTCCCATTCACCGTCACACCGGTAGTGAACAACTGTCGGAAGTCAGCTGCCAAAGCAGCCAAGACCTGGTGCAAGCTCTCCGGCTTGTCATTGTACAATGAGATCGGGAGGACGGCCGAAAGAAAGTGAGTCAGATGTGTGTCCCCAATCATATTCATATTCAAAGGGGAATCCGTATCCACAACTGAATCATCCTGTTTGGAGCGAGATGAACCTTTTCCCAGGACTGGTGTCGAGGAGAGGATCATAACTTGTTTTTTTCTTGCCACGGCCTTCGTCACCATGTACCAAAATTGGTATTGTCATCTCTGGCTGCCCTGCAGCACCCTCCTGGCTATGAAACATGATGTGGTCAGGATTGACAATTTGGTACCGGGACCAAAAAGCTCGAAGGAGACCCTGCATGGACTTGATGTTGTCCACACCGACCAGTCTGCCCAACTCGTCCTCCTCCACGAGATGCCGCAACCAGGAGCTGAATTTCACAAGCGGAAATCCCTCCATGCTGTCTATGTTGATTTTGGAAATCTTCACAGACAAACTTTGACCATAGTCTTGAAACACTTTGTGAGCACCCTGCTCACTTCTTTTCAGATCCACCCTGGCCAGTGATGTCAATCCTTTGGATGCAACCCTGGTCACTTGCGCCTGCCGGATGGCGTCCCGGCAAGAGACCTCAGAAAGCAATTGGTTTGCAAAAATGTTGATCCCGATAAAAGCTGGGAACAACATGAAGTGCATGCAGAGGAGTAGGTCACACATTGTGTGGTTAAACAGCCAGGACCATATACAGAAAAAGTTCAACGCGAAGAGCTGTATTCAAGAACTCAAGATTGCATATATGAAAGGATCTTCTCTCTATAGGCTCTATACTATAGCAAGGCCATGAGTATATGCATTGCAAGTCTGTTTTTGCAGTGTGGACAAAAGCTGTATTGCATGATGCGTGCAAGCGCGTATATTTTCCACACCAATGCACGTAGGGAGACCAGGGCATATTATATGGCTGGAAAATACTTTACATGCATGCAAGTGTTCATCCAATTGGTTTCATGCAATCTGCACGAGCTCCCACAATGTACATAAAATGAAATGGTTCCCGCAGAGCTGTCGACGGGCCTTCACCCCCGAAACGCTCATTTCGGCAACCGGGCTGGGACAAGTGAAAAGCAATCAAAGCAGCTTCTAGCATTTGAATTGCCCCCGCATTCTGGGAAACATGTAATAAAGTCATGTGGGTATAGTTCGCTTCTTTATAGAACTGGAACCTTACAGCAGGGTTCGATGTAATGCCCAATTTGAAAACACACAAGCTTTTGTTCATTTGTTTTCTGAATTGGTCCACTTGGGACAGGCACCTTTGAAGAATCGTACCTGCAGTGGCTCTAGCACGCTTGTGGGAAGACAAGTACGAAACCAGTATCCCATGGTCATGGCACGATGTTTCTATTGCTTCCAACTCGGTGATGGGACTGGGCGATGATGAAGATGGTTCTGGTTGTTCATGTGTAGTTCGCCCTGCAGTAGTCAAGTCCAGCAACCTTCCTTCCACGACCTGAGTTGGCAAAACTATAAAGCCATATGACTTACTGTAAGCATTTTGCATATAATTGTAATTAGGTTTAATTCTCACCTCGTAAACATGTTGGTCGCAAAACATGTTGAAAGGATTGATTCGTTTTTGGCTTAGGAACTGTGTATGAGCAGCCTTGCAGTTTCCGGTGAGGCCACTCTTGATGCACATCCGTCCTAAAATTGAAACATCGCACGCGCAAGTCATTTAGAAACTGTTCGGTCGACCTTTATGGTACAAAAGCACCACGCTTATACAAGATGCACAATCACGCTTTTGATATGTCTTGGGTTTGCTGGCAGTCAAGATTCCTACTTGCCTTGTTGGCAGCCAAGCTTTCTTTGCAGAAAGGTGGACACCGTTTCTTCCCTGTAATGGTACACTCATAGGTCAGCAGGTCTCTAAGCTCTTCCTCATAGGCGCACACAACAGGGATATGTTGTTCCATTGCGTCCAGTCGATGGTTCCGGTCACATACTATACAAAAGCCACAATTTGACAGTAAGACTGCGGCAGGCACATAAGTGCTGGATATGTTAAGGTACAACAGTAAAGCGAACACTCTTATGCATGTATGCTATTCAAGAGACACCTCTTTAAGAGAGACCCACTGGGAGCCAAGCACCAGTTCCAACCATTCTCGCCAACCCATGAAGCTCAGGTTCTTGGCCTGGCATGGCTTTCGGTTGAGTTGCAATCTTGAGGCTGGGGCCAGGGGGCCGGGCTCAGGTGCTTTCATATACGAATCACCAATCCAAGTGATCAAAACGCAGACGTTGCTGCTATAGCTACCTTTGTCAAAGGCTTCCATGCATCAACCCAGTTTCTGTGCATCGCGCGGTGAACATGTTCATTTTCCATGGATCCCTGATGCTCTCTATGGATTGTAAACATGGGCCTGTAGCCTGCAAATGAAGCTACAAGTTCGCAGTGACACCAACCTGCCATTGACAAGTTGGTAAACTCATCCCGGCATGTGTTCAACACATGGCATGGAAACCCAGCAAAATTCGAACCCTTGTTGTCCAAAGGTTTATCCCTCGGGCTCAGCCGCTTCTTTCCATTGCTTGATCTTCTTCATCACCGATTTGAGAAGAGCCCTTGGGTATACAAGCAGGGAACGACTCTAGATCAAGTTGACCTTCAGCCAAAGCAACTAACTTGGTTGTTTGTTCTGAGCAGGATGCAAATGGATGGACATACCAGACTTCTGACAACAAACATGCGCGACTAAAACCCTGATCGTTGTGCAGGTTGGCGGCTTGCCCTGAGCCTCCACTGATGCCAGCGCAGAAGCCCTGAGATCACCGGATTGGGTGGGCACATGCCATGTCTATACGCTCGATTGATTCCATGACCAGTGCAGATCCCCATGGCCAGGCCGACAAATAGGCACACACACATAAAATGCATACGAGAGTCTTCCCCATGGCTTCTTGCATGGCTTTCTTGATCTCCCCGGTGTTCCTCATTGCCGGTGTATACAGGTTGGCATCTTGATTAATACACATGTTGGTTGGCAGGATTACGATAAAATACACTCCAAAGCAAAACACTGCAGGCTTGTATTGGCAATCTTCACAAACACATTCAATAAGAGTTTATAAATTTATAACCTTGTTCAACTCCATGGCAGTGTGTTGTAAAAGCGGTAGGCTTCGCTGCAGTATTGAAACGATACAATCCAAGGGTCTCAGGGGTTCGAGACACATCACCCAAGCGAGTGCGGACATCCTCGAAGGTATCATACGAAGCCTGGGCCGCTTGCAGCTTCTTCTCCAATGAGGACACCAACCTGGGCAGCATGACGGACGGAAAATGATCTATATATAAAACAGGTTGCACACATGCCCTTGAAAAAGGAAGTTGAACATGGCGAATTCGAGCGATAAGTAAACCAATGTCAAGGTTTGAGTTTCAGACTTGCTGGATCGATCTTTGTCACCCTCACCAATGTCCTCATTGCAGAGACCCTCCAATTTGGAAATCAGATCGGTGATCTTCGACATCTTGACGAGCATACCGGCAGAGAATTTGTTCTCCACTTCCAGTTCCTAAGCTCCAAAATGACCCCCACCATATATGTATAGAACACTTCACTCACAAAGGCCCAATAGTTGTCAAACAACTAGTTAACTCCATGCGTTTTGGAAATCGGGCCGAATCTCACCATCTTCAGGCGCTTGGGGAGGATGAACCTCCTCGGATTCTTTGGCAGGCGCTGCTGGGGTATGCCAGTCTCCAGATAGGGTCACTGCTTCACTCCCCTGCAGAACCAGAGTCAGTTTTGGTCGAAACATTGATCGATTTAAATGCAAAAGATCTTTTGTCGATATTATTTCACTTGTCTTTTGCAGAAAACACACTTAATAAAAAGGCTGCCTCCGCAGTTGACCTTTGTGTCTCAATCTCGGTGTAGCTCTTCTTGGTCGTTTCCGTCTCTGAATATTCGACAAAGTACTTGAACACCTTGCTGCTGTACTTGTCATTCCTTGTTGGATCATGGTGACATGATGTCAGAGGGTTGCTTCTATAGGTGTGATCGGCATGCCACATAACAACTTCAACGTCGCTGAAGATGTTTGCGTGCTTTCAAACAAATTGCATGGTTCCCCAATGTTATAGGATGATGTTTGTCCAACTCGAGTTGGTTCTGTTAGCGCCATTTTCGCCGGGACTCTTCACCAAGCCATGTTTCTTGCAGTAGGCCACCACCTCCTTGATGTAGCTCCTCGGAGCTGGTAAGGTCCATAGGGTCAAAGGTCTGACATGGAGTTTGCATGGAACTTCTTTGGGCAAAGTCCAGCTATATAACACAATATAATTTGTTGAAACTGTTTAGTACAAATTGCGCCAAGGATCGAAGACCACTTCAACTCATTCTTCATTTGCTCGATGGTGAACCAACCACGTTTGACCTTCTGTGTATCTTCCTTCTTGCGCTCAATGATCTTGACCACTTGGGACACAAACTTTTCCTTGCAGGGATAAGTGCCTGAAACAGTGGCTAAATTTAGCCTCTGTTTTGGGGCTCTATTTTGGAACATAGGGTGAACAAAAACTTTGTTCATGGTGCAACTTGAACCCCTCAAGATATCTATAGATGGTTGCATCAATAAGAGTCTATAAAACCATATGGCCATATGGGTCCTTGTTCAAGTCATACTGCTCGAACATGACACGAAGTTCATCTCTGTCTTTGCCCCCCTTTGAGCCACAATTCATGAACTGCCATAGGGACGTTGAGCTTACCAGAGGGCTTCTTTTCGCAGAGCCTGCGCAACTGTGCATCGATCTTCTTGTAGCGCTTGACGGCGTCTGCAGCATCTAGCTCTGCCTTAGCCAGTTTTTGCGTTGGAGTAGCAGTTGTTGCAATTAATTTTAGCGTGTTGCTGACATCTATTTGTTCATGCTTCTATAGTAAGTTCAAGAACCCAACATATAAAGGGCACACGTACTATACAAGGTCGCCTGTGTAAAAAACAACGCACATTCCACGAGAGGTTGAAAGGGCTTAAAAACGAAAGGACTTGTGACACCTTTTGTTTTTAAGCCCTTTCAACCTCTCCTGGTTCAATCCCGTGGCCAGGAAACGTCGGCTTCAGGCTGCTCAGGCTTCGATTTGGGCTCTGAGGGGAGGGAGCCTTTGGAAGTAGGTGTTGGCACTGAAGTGCGAGTAGTCGGGGTCTTGGGCGTCCCGGAAACCGACTCACCCCTGCTCAACCTATCGATCGTTGAGAGCGCAGCCGCAAGTTGTTTCTGAAGATCCCGCACCACTGGGTCATCCTAAGGAACCGCGTGAACACACAAACAGATTCAACTTTAAATGATACAACGTTCATCCACCAGATTATATATATAAGGTTCACCTTTGCTGTATCATCGTTGATCATCGGTGTCTGAAATATCATTGAGGTTTTTACCTTGCATGACCTGGGTGTCTTGCGTACATATATATACTATAGTGGTTGGCCCAAACATTAGTGCAAAGCACCTCCACACAGCAGAAGGACATTATAAATAACAGATGGAAGCAGTGCGAGTTTCAGTCTCCGGTGTCTCTGCTGCAAAAGGTGGCTTCGCCTTGCTCTTCACCGATGTCATGCGAAGCTCAGCAGCAGCATCCTGAGCACAAGGGGTTCTGTATGAGACAACATGCCATTAGCAGTGAGGAAGCAAAAAATCCTTGCCATGTGGATGTTTGAAGT